AACAAGCATTTAGCGTTCATTCAGGAGCAACATCTCGCTTCAGATCATTTGCCAAAATGGCCCCAGCCACTTGCAGATAATTTAACCAGGGCGACAGTTAATCCCTTTTATTCATCGTCTGCTGTGGTCAAATGACAGTGCCTAGGCTATGCATCATGTAGTTTTGCTGGGATTAAATATCGCAACAGCCAATGTTGATATTCATCGTACAACACATTCCATCATTTTCCTAAGCAATGCCGAGGTATTGTCTTACAGTTAATCATCAGCGACGTCAAGAGCGACAGCAGAGTATTATGGCAACACAAGAAGACTCTGGGGACAATTTATATTATCGCCGGCTAAGGATATGGTCTGTGTAAAAGGCATTGACATCATGTGCTTACAAGTTAATGACTCTGCTGGGATACAAACACAACCCTCTGCTCACAGAGAGCCCCTGGGAAAAGTAACTTTTGGAGCTGAGGCTCAGAATCTCCCAGTCAGCATGGCCACAAGCCAAGGGAGCTGTAGTGCAAAAGAATTAACAAACATGGCCTTCTGAGCATTGTAGTTTGAAAATATATCTTGTTAGAAAATACTTCTCAACCAAGCATTTTCTCAGAAAGGCCAGCATGATGTAGTGGTTTGAATGTTGGACTATGACTCTAGAGGCCAGAGTTCGAGTCCCAGCTTGGCCATGAAACCCACTGGGTGACGTTGGGCAAGTCACATTCTCTCAGCCTCAGGGGAAGACAATGGCAAACCTCCTCTGAACAAATCTTGCCATGAAACCCCCATGATAGGTTTGTGTCAGGGTCACCATAAGTCAGAAACGACTTGGAAAGCACACAACAGGACTTGGAAAGCACACAATAAATGTCAACTTCCTAGAGTGTCAATAGGAAGCATCCAATGTCAACTTTCTAGAGTGTCAACAGGAAGTATCCAATAAATATCATCTTCCTAAAGTGTCAACAGAAGGTAACCAATAAATGTCAACCTTCTAAAGTGTCAACAGGAAGAATCCAATAAATGTCAACTTCCTAGAGTGTCAATAGGAAGCATCCTATTGTCAACCTTCTAGAGTCTCAACAGAAAGTATCCCATAAATGTCAGCTTCCTAGAGAGTCAATAGGAAGCACCCTACAAATGTCAACTTCCTAGACTGTCAACAGGAAGCATCCCATAAGTGTCAACCTTCTATAGCAGGGGTAGGCAACCTTTCCCCTTTAAGGGCCAAGGGACTTCAGCTCCCAGAAGCCTCAGCCATGTTGGCCAATAGTCCCATGTTGGCCAATAGCTCCTGGGATTCTGGGAGCTGAAGTCCCTCGGTCCTTAAAGGAGAAAGGTTGCCTACCCCTATTCTATAGTATGAACAGAGTATATCCCATAAGTGTCAATTTCCTAGAGGGCCAACAAGAAGGGTCTTGTAAACATCGACTTCCTAGACAGGTCCTGTTTGGTAGCATAGATTCTGGACTCAATGGGCTTTGGTATGGTTTACAGGGCTTAAAGTTGGGTGTGCCATCTAAATAGACTTCTCATCCTTTCAGGAAAGGAAAAGGATATAAAGATGGGCCATACATGAGAAGACCCTGCATCACAATCACCACACATAGTCTGGGTGGAGAACACATGTGGTCCTAATGCCTGGCCACAGGTCCAGGATTTCTGTCCAACGCTGACACTTTGTGTTGCCTATAAATGGAGAGTGCACACAGCTCTGGGCATCAGCAAACAGTCGCTTGTCAGCCTGGGTGACGATGGCATCACTTAAAGCGGATTGCAAGGTGTGCCTTAAGGCCATGAAATGAAAATCCCCTTTGCTGGAGCATACGAGGAGTGAGCCACGAAACCTGCTCTCCAAGAGATCTCTGTGCAAAAGAGGTTATCTGTTACTTTGCAGCCTTTTGTCTCCATCCATTTCTACATCTGCATATTGTTCTCCTTTCCAAAAGGAAAAAAGTCCAAAGCAATCAATGTATCAATGGAAATATGGGGGGGGGGATACAAAACAGGAGGGAAGGGAATAAAGGACAGGAACACTTTTGCTAGAAAAATGCAAGCATGGATCTTGCACACAAAAACAAATTTGGAAGCACAACAAAATGTTGGAGTTGCATGGAAGGCGGATGTTTAGGATTCTAACCACTCTGTTCCTTCCAGTTTTCTCATTCCTGTCTCCACAAACTCAATGAAAACTGAGTAGAAAATCACTTCCTGCTCTCACATTCACTTTTCTCTCACTTTCTGGTACAAATAATATTCCTACACTTCCCAACTCTCTTTCCATGTGTGGATCGTGTCTCTCTGCAACACTCACACCAGCCGAGTTGTTTCCCCAAGAGAAATCATCTTAAATATCTCCCCAGAATTAAAATTTTCCAGAAAGCTATGAGATGGCTTGCCTGTATCTGCGGTCAAGATGGAAGTAAGGGATACATTGATTTTACACATAACTGTACTTTTGACTGTGAATTCCATATCTGAATTTATTACATGGAGGTGTAACAGTTGGCTTAGAGTAGCATCTTGGCATTTGCAGCTGCAGAAGCTTTAACAAAATTTACTTTGGGATGGTGGGATAATGCTCTTCATTTCCAGCTGCTATTGATCTGGAAAATAATTCATGAATTTTTACTCTAGCGTAAAGATATAAGTTGATTTTTCAAAAGGGTTTCTACTGAAATGCAGTATGGTTTGAGATAAGCTCAACATCATTTGCTCTCTGGAATCCCAAAACTTCAACAAGAAGGAACAGAATTTGATTATGAAAAGAAATCTTAACTGAACACTTAACTTCTGAACATTATAGAGCGCCCTTTGCAAGATATCAAAAATGGAGGAGGGAATATATATATATATATATATATATATATATATATATATATATATATATATTCTGCCATTGCAAATCACATATTTCTCCCTTGGTTGCTTAAGTACATATAAAGAGAGACGCTCCATAGGTTCTGTTTTATGAATGACTACAGAAGTAGAACGGCTAGCAAATATAAATGTAACCATCTTCAATGTCAAATTCATTCCCCATTTACATTAGAAGTCCCCTCCATTTTTCAAAAGTAATGAAAATTGTTCCCCATTTAACTGAATTGCTGGTATTTTTTTTCTAAATCCACAGTGGACTGCTTCATTTCCAGAAGCAAGCCTTTAACATTTGGAATTCATGAGCTTTTGTCATTTTCAGATTAGTCAGAATTATTAACAATAGTCTAACAGGACATCAAGTGCATTACCTATACTGTGAATATTTTACTCCATTAATGCATCAGAAGAAGCCAATTGAAATCCACAAAACGTCGTCGTAAAAGAATCTAAGTTTGACGTAAAGGTTTTATGACATCCCTATTCCTCCCTTTCTTACTTTAAAAAAAATAAAGACAAGAGGTCTGATCTGGCAAAAAACATCATCCAAAAGTAGTTTTGGCAACAAAGAAAGCTGCCTTATATCATTGCAAGGAATATAATTTTTTGCTACAGGTAAATTTTAGGAATTTTTTTAGGAAAGTCTTCAAAAACTGCAATTTTCAAAGACTATTTTTTCAGTTCAGGATTTAGTCTGCACAAAATTCTGACACTGGTGGTTTTGCACAGAAAGTAGAATTTTCTTTGTAGGAAGCAGCATTTTGGGCATTTAAAAATTAGTATTTCTTTGCAGAAAATACCGCTTTTTGTATAAAAGCCCCTTGTGCGAATTTTGCACCGATTGAGTCCTGAACTGCAAAAATTCTCATCAATCCTGGAATTTCTTTGCCAGGGTTTCCCAATATGTGAGAAATGTGTTTTGACCACTTCTTTGAATACTTTACCAGTGATTCCCAAACTCTGATCTTCCAGGTGTTTGGGACTACAGTTCCCAGAAGCCTCTGCCATCTTGGCCAATAGGCTTGGATTCTAGGAGCTGAAGTCCAAAACACCTGGAAGGCCAGAGTTTGGGAATCTCTGCTTTAAACCATTCTTTAAATCCCTTTGGTCCATGGGATTTGTTGACATAGATCGACAGGGGGCCTTGAGGATTTTGGACTACAAATCTTTTCTGGAGTTGCTAGGGACAGAGTCTCAAACCTTCAGCAAAGCAGGGTCACGTTCACCAAGCTGCACTCCTGGACAAAGCAGGAGAGCTATGATGCTTTATTCTTGGGAAGGAGTTCTTTATACTGAATGAACACAGGTTACTAGCTTAGCTCTCTCTACATATGAGTCCCTGACAATATCCCCAAATGCTGTCTCCATAGATCATTGCCCAAAGAAGAATCCAGTTCATACCCTCCAACTATCCTGATTTGGCAGGGGCGAATGATTGATTCTGTGTCATCCCACTTTTCAGCTGCTTTTTAAATGTCCTGGTTTCTCTCTCCTCCTCCCACCTTCCTCCTTTTCCTCAGCTTTCTTCAATTGCTGCAAACACAGTTCAAAGTGCAAAAATTATTTGCGTCCAATTAACTCTGCAGGGGGGAGAGGAATGAGTGAAATCTTTCCCTTCCCAATAGACTCAGGCAAAAGGAAACCCCTGCAGCCTCTCCTAGCTTGTCTGTTCTTCCTCATTCATAACTTTTGTCATCTTGAAACACCTTAATGTAGTTGAGCCACACATGCCCCAGTTTCCTTTCCTCTCCCCCTTGCAGAGTTAAAGAATAGAAAGAAATCTTATGGATTCTTTGCAAGACTAATTCAGAGGAGATTTGCCATTGCCTTCCTCTAAGGGTGAGAGAGTGTGACTTGCCCATCATCACCCAGTGGTTTTTTATGGCTGAATCCTGGTCTTCCAGAATCCTAGTCCAGCACTCAAACTACTATTGCACTCCAGCTATTAGAATGGATAGAAGGTAATTGTAAAAGCAGCTAGTTTTAAAAAATGGCACCATCTAGTATGTTTTGTACTAAGAGGAACAATCTGTTCCCAATTTATTGCCAGCCCTGCTGTTCATTTTGGGAGGGGGTTGTTGTATTGGGGGTGGTTATATTACAATGGTTGTTAGTGCCATAGCAGCCTCTTCTTAAGGACAGAAAGGTGAGGTTATAAATAAATTCATTATAGCTGAGAGACCACAGAACTTTGCCCAGCTTTGCCTTTTTGAATGTATTCATCTCTTGCAGCCATCTCCCTCTCTCTCTCATAGATAGGTCCAGATCTCCAAAATGAAGGGCCATGATTGAGCTTGCTGGGTGGAAGTAACAAGACTCTGGGCAGGAAAAAGCCAGGTGCGATGACGACGGAACAAGCCACTTTTGCCACTCAAAGACCATTTTGGATGCACGCCCAGGCTAGGCAACTGGGATACTGCATTGTGTGCATGAAAAGGGCAACCTTTTTATTCCTATGGCAAACCAGCATTCGCCACTTCCAAGGTCTTTGTGATGTTGCACTGTCCAATTGTGTCGCCTTAGATGGGGCCAGCCAAATCCCATAATGATGTCCAGTGGATGCTAGAAATGAAATCCGAACACATGGGTTTTTGTATATACTCAGCTGAACACATCTCCAAATCTCCCTTTTTCCAGTCCCTATTTGGGGCCATTTGGTAGCCATTAGTGTGAATTAAGCATGGCCCGACACTGGGGAGGGGGACCACTTAATGATTCCACACAAATTTACGTAATATTTGCATATGCACATGACAGATAAAACAGATAAAAATCCAGAAATCATTAGCACCGGTTTAATAGAAATATAGAA